AATAATAATAATAATAATAATAATAATAATAATAATAATAATAATAATAATAATAATAATAGTTCAACAAAAATTGCATGAAATAGTTTAGTACCATTCTGTTCCATTGGTTGGGCCAAAAAATGCCTCAATGGCAAGAAGAAACTTACATTTTCCAGATCATTTTTTTTCACCCACTTTTTGACTGAAGAAAGCCCTATGCATACTGTACCAAGTAGCTGAAACTTTGGAAACTATTATTCTTCAGTTGAGGATATGATGCTGGCTTTGTGGGTCTAGTTCTAGAAGGACTCTGAAACAAAACATTGCAAAACTCTAGGATACTAACAGGCTAGAACTTTTTCCATATGAAAGAACAGACTAGGAGTATGCACAACACAATGACACTGATAGTAACAGTGAGCATCAGTAATTTGCCACCAAATGTGAGTAAATGTAAGTTTTTACTGATGCCTAGAAAGATGCACAAGCAGCCTATGACTGTGCTGTCCAGTTGTGTTGTACATAAATAATGTTTTTTAAGCAGTGATTCACAGCCTTTGGTCTCTAATGTTCTTGGAATGAAATTTCCAGAAGCTTTCACCACTAGGTATGTCGGCCAAGATTTCAGGGAGTTGTAGTCTAAGAACATCTTGGTACCCAAGGTTGGGAAACAGTGTTTCAAAGGCATTAAAGATGCTTGGAACAGTGTTTCAAAGGCATTAAAGATGCTTGCATACTCAAATTCAGACAGTTGAACATATGTATTATTGTTATGTCAGTAGCAGAAATTATAATCACACTGAGATACAATGGCAACCATATCTGTATTGTTTGTATAAGGTGCAATAATTACTACATGTTGCATTATTGTCACAAGTCCTAGAGTTTTATCTGTGTTCAATGTACTGATAGCTTTCCCAAGCAATGCTTACTAAAGGGTTCATAATATCAGACTGATACAATTGTGTCTCAGCTTTTAAAAAGCTGAGTTCAATGTACTGATAGCTTTCCCAGGCAATACTTACTAAAGGGTTCATAATATCAGACTGAGGAACCAAGAAAATATAGAAGAATACATTTGAACAAGCTATTCACTTGTTTGTGTATAAGAATTTTAGTTGATTTGCTGACGGTGATTGAGACAGAAAATGCTCCTTAATATATGTAAAGCTTTAAAAAAATACTTTTAAAGGGGAACATCAGGAAAACAGAGTATTGTATAAATTGTGATGTCATACAGTGAAATGTTCCATTTGTTAATTAGCAAATATAGGCACTGTTAGTTGCTGTTAACAAATCGTGCTGCAGGGCACAGTATGTAATTGGATGAGTGATTTATTCTGAAAGTTGCAAGTACTATGAATTATATATTTTAGCTTTCTTGTATCTGAAGCTTGTTAAATGAAGGAAATTATTGAAACTTAAAAAGAATTTCTCAAAGCAGATTAATTTGACAAACCAACATATTTGTCAAATGTTTGCATTTGTTGGGTTGTGTTTTTTTCCTTTTTGTTCAGATCCAAATAGAATAAATCTTCCTTTTAGAAAGATGCTTTGAAACCGCTTTTTCAGGAGATCAATGTTCTTAAATGAGCCCAGATTTTGTTGAGAAAGTAAATGGGGATTTTTTGGCTTGTTTGTTGTTCATTTGTTTTATTCATAAATCATTCCACAGAAGTGTGTTCCTTCATATGTCTCTAGTTGATAGGTTGCCTCTCTAAATCAGAGGATTTTGCAGAATGTCAGTATGGTTAGTTTGTTTAATTTCTGATGGAATAAAGAATTGCTGCGGCACAAGGGAGGGAATGTGTGCCCTGGGGGAGCCATTTTCACATGTTCTTAAAAAAGAACATATTGTCAAAAGAAAGGACAATAGAATGTTTTTGTAACATTTGCATATGCTGATTTATATTACATACATAAATTCCAGAATAATTGCTATAAGAAAATAGGGGGAAATGGGGGGCAACCTGTATGCCTGCTTAGTTTACTATCCAGCTGCCAGCTGCAGGTGGGCAACATTAAGATTCCTGCTCACCCTTCTTTGAGTTTGTTCTCTTCAGACTGGACTTGGAAATTACAGGATGCCTCCAGAGTTTTGTCCTTTGACAATTCTTAAAATTGAGAGCTGTCCTCTGTAAAGCAGGTCCGAGCTACAGTCCAGGCGACACTCTACTACTCTTGTCAACTACCACCAGATATTCAGCAGCAGATTTGTGGGCTGACAGTGATGCCTATAAAGGGGGGCAAAGCAAGGAATGAATTACTCTGGCAATAATGATGCCTCCAAAGGTCCTGGCATAGGTGGGTTCCCTATGAGGCCAAGAAATGTTACATATTTGCATGGCATTAAGGGTGACATATCAACAGCATCCCGCTCCAAAAGAAATCAGGTCCAAAACTTGATGTAGTGTGTGTGGGGGGAATCACAAGGATCATAAGCCCATATGACATCACAGAGTCAGAGGAAATAAGAATTGGGAGGGAAGCAAGCCATATAGAGACCTCCATAGTGAGCAAACACCCACTGGTGCCAGCTGGGAATGGATGAAGGTGTATGTCCTGGCTTTAAAGTCACCATACAGAAACAGAAAAACCACACCCAAACTTTCTCCTCTTCCAGTACCACCTTCCCTGAGATTTGTCTTTTTTCTTGGAGATCAGAAGAAGCAAAGAAATTGCCTGCAACTTCATCCACTGCTATCAGGTTTGGCAGCCATGCACAGCATCACCATCGAGCTAATCAAGATATAGAGGAAATGCATTCTACATATTCTCCAGGGCTTGCTAATAACACCTTCCAGAAACCAGGCCTGCTGGAAGATGCCAGATTTGGCTCAAGGCTTGTTGTGGCCTGACTGCTTGAGGGATAGCAACAAGTGGCACCTTCCATCACTGAAGTCAAGGAGCATGGCCCTTTGAGCCAGGAAAGTAATTTTGAGGGATAAAAGAAACGTTCCCACAAACTCTTCTTCCCAGTCCTTGGCATTAAAAATATAAAGCTATCAAATCTAATGATCAGCAATCTACCCATCCGCTTGAAGTGGCTGCCCACTCTAAGAAGTGGGACCAACCCTGAGAGATTTGTTGATATCAGTGTTGAAGTGCAGAAGATATAATACATTGATTGATTCATCCAACAGTGAAAAAAATGATCCAGAATGTTTTCCAAGATAGTTTCCTCCCCTTCCCTCAGAATCTTTACATCCTGAACTAGAAAGTAATTAACAGAACTTTTTGGTAAGCCCTTTTTGGACTTTATATTCTTTACATTTATTTTCCAGGATTGCCCACAGCTTTTCCCTACAGAAGAGATTTTGATCCCTGTTGGTGAGGTGAAGCCCATAACACTGAAAGCTAGAAATTTACCTCAGCCTCAGTCTGGCCAGCGTGGTTATGAATGTGTCCTCAACATCCAAGGTGTGATTCATCGTGTACCTGCTCTTCGTTTCAACAGCTCAAGTGTCCAGTGCCAGAATAGCTCGGTAAGGTGAGGGGTTTGGGTGACTGGGGAGGAGTAGGAATAAAAAAAGTATTCTTGGAGAAGAGGATACATGTAACATCTAATGGGGATCTGCCTGCCTGCCTATCTGCTTACCTATTTCTTGGTTGCCTTCCAGCAAACCTGCTAAAGTGTTCTTATAAAAATGTTTCAAATGCAAAGTAAAAAATAAACCCAACAGAAATAATAGACATCAATAATGTGAAGTGACATTACTGAAACAGCAAAGGTTTTTAATTAGGTCCCAGCCCCCTAAAATAATTTTTTAGTCTTCTCTCTCTAAAGAGAGACCAGAGAGGAGAACAAGCAAACTTTTTGTTGGGATACATTCTGTATTTTTGGATCACTGAAGATAAGATCCTGTTCCTGAAAAATTGAAGCAGGAGCAGGGCTTCAGGAACAGGTGAAAAAAGGGAGGTGGGAAAGAAAGTGTTAAGAATTGATACGGTAGAGGTGTAAACAATAGTCAGGTAAAATGACGAATGCATAGAACTATTATGGGTTTAAACATGAATCATTTTGTCTGGAAACACCTGTATAAAGGTAGCATGTATGGGCATACCAATATGGGGTGAAGTAAATTATCAATTCCATTAAAAGAAGGTACAGTGGTGCCTCGCTTAACGAGTGCACCGTATAGCGATGTTTCCGTATAGCGATCCCTTTTTCGGGATCGCTATACGGAAACATACCCGATCTTCGCAATGGGGAAAACCCGCATTGCGAAGATCGGGTATTGCGGTGGCCATTTTGGAGCCGCCAAACAGCTGATCGGCGGTTCCAAAATGGCCACCGGAAGCCCGGAAATGGCTGCCGGCAGCCGTTTTCGCGCCCTGCCCTCGCTTAGCGAAGGCGCGAAAATGGCTGCCGGCACCTGGAATCCTCGCTGAACGGGTAAGTAACGAAGGTATTGGAACGCATTAAACGAAGTTTAATGCGTTCCAATACCTTTCCCCTACCTGTTTAGCGATGATTCCGTATAGCGAGGGTTAATCCGGAACGGATTAACCTCGCTATACGGGGCACCACTGTACTTCACATGGAACATGTAGATGTTTATGTAAGGCAGGAAGATCTAGCATATTTTCTTCTGTCCTTTTTCAGGCTTTTTCCAGGACTTTGGTAATTATAGTTAATTCCAAACACTTCAGCTGCTGTGGCTATGTGCCCTCAAGTAATTCACCCAATTAATAACTAATATACAAAAATTCTGCCATTAATAGACCTCCCATGTTATTCTTAAGCCCTCCTTAGTCAACACATATCAAATAATAGCCTTGCCAGTGTTTACATAACAATTTATCCCAACAAAAATGGATCAGCCTCTTTATATTGAAGTTTTCTTTTCTTTCAGCTCCCTTTTAGCCATCAGTGCACTTTTTGTTGTATCAGACATTGAAGCAACTGGTGTGTTCCTTAATATAAAGTTGTAACAGTGAACCTTTATCCATTGCGTGTGACATAGACATCCTTCCTAATGCTCTCTAAACAATCAGAGCTGGGGGAACTGATCTATTGTGGATATCATAAGAAGGTTCATTGCACTGGGAGAAATCAGTTTAGTGACATTTATTGCCCGAAAATTACAGAAAGATTTGTCAGGAGTGGGTGCAGAAGCTACCAAATATGGAACATTTATTTCTCATGTCTATTCTAGTGCCATGCCAGGCATTTTTCCTGTCAGAATTTTGGCAATGACTATCTGGGAGTATAGATGACAAATTATGGCAAATCACTAGCTTCCCTTTTTTCCCCTGGAGCTGTACATTGCCCTCTCTTGTGCCTGCCACTTAGCTTACTGGGAACGTTCTTTTACAGTAAAGGCAAAATGTATCTAGAATGACTCCAGAAAACATAACATTTGCCAGACCCTGGGAAAGGTACTGAACCTAACAGAACAACAAATGGTGATGAGCTAAAATGTTGCAGAAGACAATTATCTTAGAAACACTTTTAGATGCCCCCCCTTAGCACTAGAAGACTACATTCTCATAATAAGTACCAGAATTTTTCCACCATTTGTATGGTAGCATCCTCCCTACCATCATCACAGAGCCTAGTAGGACACAAGACAAAAGACACTGAGGAGAGAACAAAAGGAGGGCAGCTGTTGGCAATACATAAAATCAAAGGTCCTTGGCAATGGGAGAACAAGGTGATGCTATGGTCTCTGTTAATGGGGGAGCCCCACCTCTAAGAAGATTCTGGGGAATTTCTTTCCCTTGGATATATTCAGTGAAACTGTCCTCCCAGTTATTTGTGTACAAACAGTGTAGAGAGCTTTTTGTAAAGGCCTCTTGTGCACAGCCATGGTCTATTTACTCTGACTGTGCCTTCCATAATGCTGTGACAGGTCATTGCTTCACACAATGCTAACTTTTCAATCTAGCCTGTTTGAGCAGTTTTGTGTGGATTTTTCTCCCTCTTATCTTCTTTTGGAAATGAGAAATCTCTTTTTCTGATCCTTGATAACTGGACGGACATCTTGCTCATGTTTGCTTGTGTTCAGGTATTGAAGAAGCTGTCATCTTCTATGCTGAAACTCTGAATAAGGCAAACATAGACAGTAGGGGGAAAGGTGCCAGCAGCCATTTATTCTGGGGGAAGAAACAAAAAAAGATGGGGAAGGGGGGAGGTAACTAATCCTGAATTCCAGGAGGGAATGTGTTACAGGCATGTGAGGGTGTTTAATTAGAAACCTGGCCCCAGAGAAGATCTTTTATCTGTCAGCCTCCCGTCTGCAACTGTGGGGGGTCAGGAAAGGGGGAGCTGGGGTGAGGATGTGACAAAGGTGTTAAGGCAAAGCTAATTCACACAGGAGCGATAAAGAGAATTGCAGGCGTTCTTATCAGGAAACTGTCAAATTCCAGGCCGCACTAGCTTGATAGAAAGTGTAATACTGGAAAGCTGCCTGTTGCTGGCAGAAGACGTGGAAAGTGCAGGGATGAGAAAGAGAAAGGGAGGGAAGGAAAAAGGTTCCCTTTAAATAGCCACAGTCAAGGAGGCCATTGCATTCTTCCTGGTGTTGAACAGGGTAGACCCACAATTTTGCTGCCTGAGACAGAGCACTCACTATCAGCATGTATAATGCCAAAGAAATGCAAGTTATTTTGGTGCCTGAAGCAGCAGATCTCAACAGTATCTCCCTCCCTTCTTGCCAGTGAATATGCAATCATATGCAATACAATTAAATCATTATAAATTAATAAATTGTTGTCATTTGGTAGCCTCTAATTTGCTTCCCGAGTGTTTGTTTTCATGCACCTTCCTGCAACTCTGGCTGTGAAACAAAAATTGGGGCAGAGGGTTATACCCAAGTGACCAAGCTGACCAGCTGAAATTCGTCAAAATACTCAGGGCAATTGACCTTTATCCCCAAGGTTACTTACCATTGCTGCAAGTATTTTAGTCTTCAAGTTTTGCACTTTGGACATTTGAATTCTGAAGAAAAGTTTTAAAAATCCCTTTAAAATTATTTTTGAAGTAAAAGATCCAAGGGTAAAATCAATAAAGATTGAAAGATTCCAATCTCTGAAGAGAGAGAGAGAAAAAAAATAATGCTTGTAAAAACAAATTGCAAAAATGATTGCTCTTACTTTGATCCTTACTTTGCTCAGAGTAAGTCCTGTTTAATGTAATAGGACTGAACTCCCAAGCTGCATAGCAAGATCAATAAGCAGAATACAAAAAGCTACTTATTTCCGACATGGACAGAAATTCTGTTTTGTTTGTTACATGTTTATTCTGCCTTTCTGCCAAAGAGATCAAGGAAGCAAACATGGCCGTCTTCCACATTTTCACCTGCATACACTCCTGGGAAGCAGACTGAAGGCTATTCAATGATCTCTGTGGTTAAATGAGGATTTGAACCCCATTATCTCCACTCCTACTTCAACATTTCTAGCCGTCACATGAGACAGAAAGCATCTCTTTTAGAACAATATAGTTAACGATCACTTCCATATCTATTTCAGCATAGCTAGTAATATGTTTATACATAGTAGGACTTCTGTATCTGCTGGGGATTGGTTCTACATGGATGCTGGAACCCATGGATATGACCCTATATACAACATACAAGGGGGCAGGGCAAAGATGGCAATTTTTATGTTACATATTGGGCCATGGTGAAATGCCACCACAGATATTGATACCTCAGATACAGGGGTCCTTCTGTACTGTGTAGTAATCTGAAGTCTGTCTCCTTTCAAAGTTCCAAACGTTCTAAGCAAATTGATCACTAGAACTCTTTCATCAACCATTATTCCATCTTGTCCTATCCCTGTCATCCCAGAATCTGTGTCAGCAGCAACCCTGAATGTGTTTATCTGTTTATTTTAATTTTAAGTGAAATTCATGATAACTATAGCCAAAAAAAGGTTAGACTCTCTGAAAGGTATCTTTCCACACATTCATAGAAAAGGCAGAAGGATGGGGGCTATAAAATCTTCTTCTTCTTCTTCTTCTTCTTCTTCTTCTTCTTCTTCTTCTTCTTCTTCTATCATCATCATGCACCATCAAGTAAATTCTGACTTATGGTGATCCTTCTGGGGGGTGTCCTGGGACTGTGCAGCTTGCCCAAGACCACACAGGCTGACTTTGCTAGCAGGAGGCAAAGAGGTTAATCGAGCTTCCAATGTCTGGCTCCATAACCAGATAGCTAAACTGCTGAGCTATCCGGCCAGGGGCGGTAAACCTTAAGAATTACAAACAATGGCTAATGAGTATACAAACATGAATATCACTGTGCAGCTGGACCATCCACTGATGTGTCCAGTGGCAGTGGCCCCGCTCATCCTTCCAATCACACTCAGAGCGCCACTCTCTGCCTGCTTAGCTGGCTGCTCAGCAGCCATACAGGGAGACGTGTCCTCCCTCCCCTTGCCTGGAGTGGCCAGCCGAGCAGGAAGAGAGCAGTGCTCCAGGTGTGACTGAAAGGACGAGCAGGGCCACTGCCACTGCCAGATGTGTGAGTGGACAGTCTGGCCCCAGGGGCCGGACCCTCATTAAGTCCAGCTGTGTGGGGATATTTGTATACGAATACCCCCATCTCTACTAATGAGTGTGACATAAGCTTTCCAACCCACGTCATCAGCCGTGCAAGATATCATAGTCTGTAGTTTTCAACCTTTGGGCTGCTTGTGCTGCTTTCTCCTTCCCTGGCCTCCTTTACCTGTGGCATTTCTGGCTCTAACTCTGCACCACAGCACTGCTTCAAACACATTGCTGATTAGTATCTGTACAGCCAAAATGATCATAGTGCTTTTGCTATAAAATGTACACCTTTCCTAATCATGAGCTTAACCTTTTTATTGGAAAATGTAACATGTAAAGCAGACCTCATTAGACAAAGAAAGGGAAAGTTTTCCTAGCTGGGTTAAGAGACTCTTTTTCTCTTAAGCTTCTGTGAACAATCCAAAGAGAAACCAGACCGCCCAACTCCATAGCTCTGCATGGCTATGCTGATTAGCTCACTTTCCATGTAATTCCCATAGAATACTGGTGGCATGTTTGCACATAGAGAAGCCTGATGTGTCCCTCCTACAGAGCATAGGATTCTCTTTTTCATCTCATTATTTCTTTTGTTGGCGATAGGACTTTATTGGCAAACCAAAGACTGAGTGCTGAGAACAGTCTGTATGAACTACGTAATTAATCTATTACTTCTTTCCAGGTTTGTCGGCTGATTTAATTATCTCTCTGTGGCAAGAAGTGTCTCTCTCCATGCAAAAGATGGAAATATATGTTAAAATCAACGGGTTCTGTCTCATTTTCCTAATCCATTCATTATTGTACCATTTTTTAAAAAAAAAATGGCTGTTGCAATAATTCTTTTCCAGTTTTTAACACAGAAAGACTTCAGAAATGTGTTTAACTTCCTTGTTTTATAGTATCTCTATGATGGCATGGATATAAGTAATTTAGCAGTGGATTTTGCTGTGGTTTGGAATGGAAACTTCATTATTGACAACCCAGAAAACTTGAAAGGTAAAGGTTTGTTTATATGGATGTCTTTTTGTTGATTTCTGTTATAAGGTAGATAGACATTTTAGAAATAATGTTTATTCCTTTTTAATCAATTTTGCAATACTTGTGCTGCTTTAAAATTATATATTCATTAAAAGAATAATGATTAAGTCTTTTAAGGCCATGCTTTTGCAGAACAGTATTTCACATTGCTTAAGATATTTAAAAAATCATGTTTAAACTATAGCTATGGCCCTGAGGAAGATATTTTTGATGTCTTGTTAAAGAAATCCAAAAGGGAAGAGATTTTGTCATATATTTGTAAGGAGAGGAAAAAAGGTCACAAACATGTATATGTATCCAAGTACGTATAGCCTCACTTTTCTTATCCTCATATGTGAAAAACTGCAACAAAAATGATGAGGAATGTCCTCATTCTCTGAACAGAATTCTCAAATTGGCAAAGCCAATATTTTGTGCAAATTTCCTAATTTTTTTACATATGTTGCTCATTTTGGCACAGTTGTGCAAATTGCACAAATTTCCCCAGACTAGAATTTCTGCCATTATTTCAAAATTTAAAGCACTGAATGGTTGTTCCTTTCTTAACAATCACCTAGTTCTTTTGTGCTTTTTTGTATATGTGTTTTCTTATTCAAAGGGACACTAGGGGAGGTTCTTTGTGTTGCTCTTGTTTGGAGGCAAGAAATCTCACTGGGCTTTAACATTCCTTATCCATATATCTCATCATGTCAAGACAGAATAAATCAATAAAAAGAGGAATTTAGCAAGCAATTCTTCTCTTCCTCTTAAAGCACAGTTCTACAAACCCTGGAAAAACCCTACTTCATGTCTACACTAATCATAGTGGATTGAAAGGTAGAGTATGAATTTGCTGATCTCAGGATCTGCAGTCAGGACAAATTTGGATGTGAAAACTGGCAGGGTGATATTTTAAAGATAAGAAACAATGACAAATAGAATGGAAATAGGCAGACATCTCTAAATTCTTTTTGCATTACTTCTTGCTAAAGGCTTTTGGGGGGAGAAATCTGGAATTAACACATTCAGCTTGCAATAGAGCATCAGTTGAGCCCTGAGCTCAGCCTCATAGATTTAAGATAAACATGTTACAAGCAGGTTAGATCAGCCTTGGAGAGGTCTGGAGAACAATAGGCTTCTAGGTGTGTGTGTTTTTGTGTGTTTAAAGTATTTATTTTCCCCTTTTATTGCCTTACATGTGGGATATCCAAATGGTGCAAAAACTCTTTTACATGATATTGGCACTGTTAGTGAGGGTGGTGACAAATATTTTTCAGAGTGAGAAAGGCTCTTAGATAGAGAAATCATTTCCTATGGTGTGTGCTCTTAATACTTTTTTTCACCTAGAAAACAAATTATTCAGTGTTTGGCACCATGAAGCCTGTTCGTTCCTATGATGGTACATAGGAGTGCTAGTTCACATTGTCTACAGAACGAATCAGCTGGAAAGTAATGGAAACTATAACTCTGTGACATGAAAGTATGCTTTTGAGCATTCACAGAAATACTCTTCTTCCTAGACAGCCCTCCCTGATTCCACTGCTACCAATTCTCTTCCCCTTTTACAAAAAGTATGTTTGGTTTGAAGTGTAGAAGCAGGAGCAAATAAGTGTCAGAAATCATGAGCCAGGTTCAAAATTCAGAGCGGTTCTGTACTCTCTTCATGGTTGGTTCAAAATTTCTGGTCTGTGAAGATAGTTTCCTCTGGTTTCAAAGTATTTGACACGTGTACTTTTAAGAACAATATAGTTCTATGACACCTTAAAGATGAACCAGTTTATAATAGCATGAGTTCTTATATATGCTACATAAGTTTGTATATCTGTGTAGACTACAGACATCTACCTTTAACATTCTGAAAATCCTTTCTACTTTCATTTTGTACAAGTCCAGCTGTTTATAGAATATCAATCATTCAAGATTCTAGCCTTAAAGATGGTGTATGGCTAACTAAAAATGAAATGTAATCTTGTGTGAGTACAGCAGGAAGGCTTTGATGTGACCAGCCATCTCACACTACGGAGAATGTCCTTTACTGTAATTCCAACATTTGTTTTTATAATTTTTTCCTACACAATAACTGCTTTTCATTGTAATGATTCACAAGTAGTGCTTTCTCATCATTGATGTGCCTTCATATTTGACCATGATTTCCTTGACCTTACAGATCTGCAGATCTGAGTTTTATGTTGGATTCATTGAAAACAGCTACTGTTGTGGCAGGGGAACCCTCAAATTTATTCAAGTAGATCTGAACTTCAGTTATAAGAAAGGCAGCTTAATGGTAGCTCCTACTGCAGGGAGAATGCTAAGAAAAACATGCATAGAACCATATTCCATTATTATATAACTAGATCCATGGCAAGTCAGATCAAAACAAGCCCTGTGAAAACAGCAGGCTTGTTCCATGAAAGAATGTAGTTTAATAGCAGCACGGACGTCCATTTAATGGGTCCCTATTTGTTCCCATTTGAACTATATTTTGCTTTTGAAGTTTACTGTGGAACCTGATATATTGGAAGCCCTGCCAAACTCCCTGGGAATAGAGACATTGTTTTCAATGAAGCTTTTGTTGGTTGAAATCAGTGGAGGAAACTAAACAAAGAATTTTGAAGGCTGTCACCCAAATCAGACATGGAAGAAATAATACCTAAGAACATCTGTGGAAAGGTTCAACAGGATAATTTTATATGCCCCCATCATAACTTTTGTGTGCAAGGAAAGGCCTTGCATGACCTTGCCCATAGTTTCTAAAAAATGTTTTTGGTTACATCCTGACTGATACAGTTGACGAATATCTGAAGAGGGGCCACTAAATCAGAGCAGAAGCAGGTTGCTTAAAAATTGTGCCAGAGTTTGTTTAGCCATCTTGAACCTCATGGCTGATGATCCTCACAGCTGCTCCTCACACTCAAAGCAATGTACTGATTGAGCATTCTTCGTAAGCAAGCAGTACAACTTATTACTTACATATAGGTTTTTAATATTCAGATCCTTTAAATATGGAATCCCTTCAAATATGAAATCCCTTTAAATATGAAATCCTTCAGATCCCTGCAAGCGGGATCTGAAGGCCTTAGGAATGGACCTCAACAGATGGGAAACCTTGACATCTGAGCATTCAGCCTGGAGGCAGGCGGTGCATCATGGCCTCTCCCAATTTGAAGAGACCCTTGTCCAGCAGGCCGAGACGAAGAGGCAGTGCTGAAAGCAGCAAAATCAGGGAGCTGGACAGGGAACAGATTGTATTTGTCTTCAGTGTGGAAGGAATTGTCACTATCAAATTGGCCTTCTCAGCCACACTAGATGCTGTTCCAAGTCCTCCATACAGAGCACATTACCATTGTCTCTTAAGGCTGAAGGATGCCTACATGTAAATATGAAATGTGGACTGTTCCTGCAAAAGCTAGTTCTAGGTTCTAAACTTTATTTTTACAATGATGCACTACATGTCCTAGCCAGAGAAGCCTCCTCAGTCTCCCACCAGCTGAGCCGTCTGGTGGTCTGGAGCTGAAGTAACAGGCATGCTGGGTAACAGTCATATTGCTTATCCTTGGCAAGTGGGGGAATCCTATAAAAACCAAAGAAAACAGTTTCAGCTGACGTGAAAGTTCCTGCAGGAGTCGGTAGAACCTCCAATTCTCACTTTCCAGCATTGTGAGAAATTGTGTCTCATTTAGTTTGTCAGGATTAACCTATCCCTCACTCATGCTATTTTCTTGTCTCTACAGTTCACCTCTACAAATGTGCAGCACAGCGGGAAAGCTGTGGGTTGTGCTTAAAAGCAGATCAGAAATTTGAGTGTGGCTGGTGCACTGGAGAAGGAAAATGCACCTTGCGTCAGCACTGCCCCTCTCCTATCAGCGGATGGGGAAGGTGGCTCGATTGGTCAAGCAGAAATGTTAAATGCTCCAACCCACGCATTACAGAGGTAATAACAGTCAAATAGGCTTGGTTTTTTTCTCTTCCTGTTCTGTTCAGTTCCTCAGTTCTTTCCTTGCTTCCTGTAGGCCTTTTTCCCTTAATGGAAACCAACATTCTGATTAACTCAGATATGTTAATAATGGCCAATGATCTGACATGTCTGCCCAGATTATGAGGTGTTTGTCAGATGCTTTTCTTCATTTGTCCCTCTTCACGTGATAAGGTGTGGTAAGGGTCTGTGAGGTAAAGGACCTTATAAGTACTGGAGCCCTGATACTGGAAAGAGTTTATTGGAAAGGCTTGCTTTGCATTTTCTTTGATGATCTTCTATACCAGCCAAAGGTTGGATGAGGTACATGTAACTAGATAGATAGAAGTAAACTTCCCTACACTCTCATTCCCACAACAGTTCCCCTAGCCCAGTGATGGTGAACCTTTTTGAGCCTGAGTGTCCAAACTGCAATACAAAACCAACCATGATTGTCCAGAAGAGTCCCACTCCTCCAGCTGTACAACCTCCAGCACCTGCCCGGGACACTCCTCACTCCGCCTCTGGCTACAATCCTTAAAGGTGCAGGGGGTGGGAGCCGGGTGTTTCCATGCCTGAAATCTGAGCAGGTGTATGTGTTTGTGGCAGTGGCGGCCATTGCCATCTTGGCTCTCCCTCCCTTTCTAAGAGTTCTTCCTGAAATCTGGGATCAGTGGATGGATAAGTATTTCTCAATGGTGACTTATGGCTTGCGTGCCTACCGAGAGGGTTCTGCGTGCCATAGGTTCACTATTGCTGCTCTAGGCCTTTGGAAATGTTGCACAGAAAATCAGGGGACCTTGATTCTGTGGCATGAAAGTATGCTTTTGAGCATTCGCTCCAAATGGGAGGACTTGTGGAGATAGAATATCATCCCAAAATCAGAGATCGGTACTGCCTGTAAGCAGAGCCCATCTGCAGAAGACAAATTCAAGAGCTGATCCACTTAACTTTTTTTTATTTTCTCATGCCTTTCAGTCTCCATCATTTCAGTTTTATCCCAGCAATCTCATATTTACAAATTGGTAGCTTTTAAGAAGCCTACGGCATTTTCTATATTTTATATTTTAATTCCTAGACTTGATGGTGTCAGCTATCAGCAGTTCCACGGGTATGAGATAGAAGCACATTAAACAGATTAATCATAACTAAATGTGTAGTTATTGGCCTCGGGGATGTATACAGTGATTCCAAAATGCTGTTGTTCGTTGCTTGCAAACAGGGAGTATTTTTATGTCTGAGATAGACTTTGGTGCATGTAGAAGCAAATAAAGCATTGATCTAAGTTTATAATAATCACAACTCTCACTCTGTGTCCTGCAGTCTTCTTTCCACTTTGTAAATCTCTTCGTATTTCACAACAACTGGGCCACCCCAGAAGCTCTACATTCTGTGACATGTGAAAGCTTTGGCTATTGAAATCTTGGTCTTCGGATCTGATTAGGATATCTCCTGAATTTGTTGGATAATCAATCAATGCCACATCATGACATTTCTCCATGCATATGGAAGGAATAGATAAAAGCAATGTAGAGAGCTACTTAATCCCATTTGTATCTTGTTTTCCTTTCAGTGTGGCATATAAAGAAAGGAGTTGTCCCAATTTATCTTCACAACAAGCCTGTGAAGTACACAAAAGAGTGTGACTGGTCCAAAGTCAGCCAGTGAATGTTACGGCCAAGTGAAAATTCTGATTGTCCTTACCAGCACCTAGCAATTTAATCATTATATCAAACTGGGGTTCAGTTCTTGTTTCTGGTCAGCTTTGCAGAATATTATTTGTATATCGTTAAACTTCCTGTATGGAAATAAGGCTCATGGGCTGTAATGGATGTTGTTCTCCAGTCCTGTATACAGTTTCCTTGAGCAAATCCCATTAAATCTAATAGGTCTTACTTCTATGTAGAAAGCATAGAATTGAGCTCCATTTCCAGATACCTGTGCTGAGGAAACTTTTATCTTGTTCTGTCTTGAGGTGATACATTACACTTATAGAGTAAGAGAAAAGAAAAAGAAACAAATGGAAGACTGCATGTAACCAATGAACATTTAGAATGTGAAATTGATATTTCATTTACATTTCATTTCATTCTGCTTCTTTGTGTCTGACAAAGTGGACGTGTCCATGAAAGCTTACATTAAAATGTTATAGTCTTTAAGGTGCCACATGTTTTTTTTGTCTTTGTTTTGCTTATTTTTGATTTTTGCCTAATATGCTTGCACAGACTGACGTGGCTATCTCTTCTAAAGTGAAATTCTATGTGATTTTCTATCAAATTAGGGCAGGATCCAGTACAGGGCTTCTACTTGCAGGACAGCAGAATTCAAAAAAGCAGACGGATATGATTTCCCCTTTCTACTACAGCCTCCCAAACTTCCTAAAAATATATTCCTAAAGGCATCCTGAAATCTTCTAAAGCTAGTTTTTAAGTAGCTCCAAGGGCAGCAGGAAGAAGAAGAGATAGAAATTCTGTTGGATTTAGGCTTCATTTTGTTGCATCTTTGATGCATGAGCTTGCGCACTTTTATGTGCCTTGATCACCCACACTTGGTTATCAAGATCAGCCATCAATAGGAGGTGCCCTTTCTGCCCTTTGGCACACACACTAATTAAAACATGGAAGTAATTAGTATGTAATTGATTTTTGTGGCTTGCGGGCTGGTAACAGGCAGTAGTCTTATGGAAAGTTTGTTCACTAGAAGGCTATCATGGGGGAATACTGGTAATATTGGCAATAGATTTATGCAGTTACTTTCAGACTATAGACACACACACCCCTTGGAAAGGTTAGTGGTCTCTTCTTTTACTGATTCCCAGCCTTGAGTTTGTTTTTCATCATGTCAGTTTAATTCTGGGCATTTGTTTTCGTAAGAGGATTTTTTTTTAAAAAGCACAGTGCCAGGGCTTGTTACTGTATAAGGATCCACCTACGCACAAAAGGTTACATTTAAAAATGCTTTGTCAAGTAAGCATTTTTAATGATGTAGTTAATTCAAATTAAATATATAATGGATACAGAACAATTTATATTTCTGGCCAGAGAACGTATAAAGCAAGGTACAGGAGAAATTTCTACCAAAATAGACCAAATGACCAAGAGCCAGATTCAGTATCAGAATCATTATGGAACTGTAGGAGTGGCTTCATAGCCTATTGGAGCCTCTTCTAACCTTGGTGATCATTGCCATAAATGAGAAATACATCAGGGAGGAGGCAGCATGAAGAGCTATGGGAAAGGACTTGGCAAGGGGAAGTGAAGGAACAAAATAGATACGATATTTAGAAATTGTCCCCAGTGGCTCACATTAATTTTTTTAAGGGCAGATCCTGAACTCCAAATTCGCACATCACCATAGATCAGAAGCAAAGACAAGTGATGGAAGGGGAATGCTTACTTAAGAAAGGTAAATAAGAGCAAAAGAGAGTCTTCCTTGATTTTCCATCTAAACAACTAAGTTGGAAGAGTTAAGTGTTTTCTATGTTGGCTATAGACATCATTTTCACAAAATTATAAATAGCAAAACATTTATATAAATATAATCCTGATTACATCCATATAGATTGATGAATCTGGATGGATCAAGTGGAACCTTAATGGATGTGCTGGCATTCAGCATCATTGTTTCAATCATTTAAGTGTCTTTCTGTAATCACTACTGTGTTTATTATGGGTGACCTTTATTGTAATGCTATACAAGGTGCAGAGACAAATTAGTAGACCCTTCCCTGACAAAATCATAAAAAGCACTGAAGCAGGAGACAGCAAGAGAGAAACTGGGTATTTGTGCAGACAAATGGGACTGATTAATATGAGTTTTTGCAACAGTTTTGTAAGGAAATTTGGCAACTGAGTTCTCAGCAAGTCCTACAGAATGTTGCCCTTTGGCTCATTATGCAGGGCCCTCAATGATCACACTGTCTGAAAAATCATTGTAGCAGCAGATTCCTTTTGCCACTGCTATCCTGTGAGTCCTCATTAAGCTGTTTTGAATTGCTTCTCATCTTCTTTATAACCTGATTTTTTTTCTTTAAAAAAGCTCCCTGTTCTGAATTGGGAATTGTTGTGATACCAAAGAATGCTTAGATGATACATTAAGATAACAGACAGCACTTGAAAGCCCTACTAACATAAGCTTCAGTTTATTAGCAATAATACAGCTATATTAACAATAAAGTATTTTTAATTAATGCTTGAGGTGGGAACTGATGGGGCAATTATTATAAAACCTGCATGGAATTTATGCATGGAACAGGAGCAGAGGAGCTAAGATTTCTGTTAGGAAGAAATGAAGAACAATACAGTGTTGGTGCATATGCGCTAATGAGGGTTTCTGGTCCTGCTGATGAGTGGAGCTGCAGAGACAGGATTCTACTAACATAAGCTTCAGTTTATTAGCAATAATACAGCTATATTAACAATAAAGTATTTTTAATTAATGCTTGAGGTGGGAACTGATGGGGCAATTATTATAAAACCTGCATGGAATTTATGCATGGAACAGGAGCAGAGGAGCTAAGATTTCTGTTAGGAAGAAATGAAGAACAATAAATGATGACTCATCTTTAAAAGGTGGATATTAAATGAATGAATGGAATACCTTAGAATGAAGGAATTTGATGATGAAACAAAATGAATAGAGATTACAGGCCAAGTATGTTCAAACAGAGAAATTCAACACTGAATTTTTGTGTAGATTTGTCTCCAGTGAAGTTTCTTGTGTATTCGGTGAATTCACAGGCAAAGTGCAATTGGTGATTTAAGACTTCATAGCTTGGTAGGATTAAGTGCAGTATTTCTCATTCTTTTCAGCAAACTTTTTATTATGAACTGTCCTATTTATTTATTTAGTTGTTGTGCAAACCCATAGTCTGTTTTTCATCAGCCTTTCTGAAAGCATTTTGAAATTATAGAAAAATGAAGGATCAATAAAAAATGAGTGGTAACAAAATGAAAGTGTTATAGATTTTTTTAAAAAAA